CTGTGAGAAAATTAATAGCATGAATCAGATTTGTATTGCATTTATTGACAATTATCGGATCCATACAAAAGAGTTTGGTTATTTTTTCATTAGTTGGGAATTTGTATTTAATTTAAGTGATACAATTCCTTTGGTTGGATTCAAATTTTGTATTTTTAGGAACCAAACTAATCGTTTAAAGCAAGGAAAATGAAATTGGATCGATTCCCTTTCCTAAGTTCAGGGCCAAAGAGCTCAAATTCGCGTACTTAACAAATAACTTCTTCGTTCGTAACTATTCTTTAAAATAAAAATCAAAAAATTTAGTTTAATTATTTCAAATCTACTCGTACAGTTCGAATTAATTCCTCGCAGAACAATCGCTCGACAGAACTTGGGCGTGCGCGATCCAAAAGTACCCCGAACACGAAAAAAAATGTTCCCCGGCTTGGCTTAATATTATTTTGTTTGCGATTAACTACTCCTCGGAAAACTCAGGAGTTTAGATTTTCTGCACTCTGTTGTGGCTTGCAGCGGCATTTTTTTACGGCGCAACGCTACACGCTCGCGGTCTAACGCGTAATTCCCCACGGCTCTTCACCCAACGACTCCTTTTCCTACCACCCGCCCACAACTGAATCCAATGATTTTCGACTTTGAATTAACGGAAAATTTTTATGGATTCTGCAAAAACTACGTTAGATAAGGGCGGATCTGATTCACCGCCAAGTACCGCTAATTAAAATTGTGTCTTATGTCCTGACAATCTGGTGCCCAAATAAAAAAATCGAAGAAATTTCAAACCAAATCAACTGCTTTACTGGACTTCTTACATAATACGATAAAAATCTTAAAATTTTTAGATCTGGCATTACCTTATGTACAGTGTGTTCCAGGAAGTCGTAGCGGTATACACAACATTATTTATTATTTTAAAAGAATAAAAATGGTTGCTTGTCTCGAGAAGCTTCCGTTTGGTGTAGGTAAAATGGCCATTTTTACACAGGGTGGTCACAAAATTATGAGGAAAAAACAAATTTCGTTGGTTGAGCTAAAGCGGCATGTATTAATTAGCTTGGGCGGGCATGCGGAAAAACACATCTCCTCTCTGTATACTAAGAACGAAATTTTGCGCTGTTCTGGCGTTATTTTTCTTTTGGTTAAATTGGAGGAGCGAAATATTTATTTATTAATCAATTTTGTCTGAAAAACGGTACTACACATTGTACAGGAACTAATTGGGCCTTGATTATTGCCTAGGCCAATTTTTTTAGCGCTTTCACTGTAGCTGGGAACTGTTTATTAAGCCATAGAAGTTGGAATCAATCCATATCGTATTTTATAATAAAAGCATTCAAAACATAATTGCTTCAAGCAGCTACGACACTTGAGAAAAGTAGTTTCTGTGCAAACAGGTATTTCATACCAAGCACATATTATATTAAGAGATACAGTGGACAAACTACCAGAAAATATAGCAAAAGCTATAGTGTTGTCTCTAAAATTAATAGCAGCTCTGATTTTGGATTTTCCCCGCGATTATTCAACCTAAATATGACGCAAAATATTACTACCGTTCTGTACTTTTACGGTTGGCCGAGAATTATTTTTTCTGACCGCGCGACGCTACGCTCTCACGCTCTAACGCGTAATTTCCCACGGCTCTTCCCGTAACAACTACTTTTCCTACTGTACCCACCTACGCCCACACCCATGTCGTAATATGTTCAACCAATGGTATATATTTGATTCAGCCTACTGAAAAACAGTCGAATTTGCACTAACAGAAAACGACTTCTGCAAAAACCACATTAGATAACGACGGATAAACCAAAATAAACCAACCAAATAAAAAATCCAAAAAAAATTTCAAGTCGAACGTCGGGCTCCCGTGACATTTTTCCACAAAAGTCTTAAAATTGTTAGGTCTGACGCTATATTATATACAGTGTGTCCCAGGAACTCGTAGCCATATAGACAAGATTATTTATTATTTTAAAAGAAAGTCATCCCTCTATAAAAATGGTGGCTCGTTCGAGAAGCTTTTGTTTAAGGTAGGCAAAATGGCCATTCTCACACAGGGTGGTCATAAAATCATGAGGTAAAAACACATTGCTGTTTTTTTTATATTGATTAGGTTGGTACAGCACAATCTTCATTTTTTCATTAACTTGACCGGTCGTGCGGGAAAGCGCATCTCCTCTATATCATCAGGAACGAAATTTTGCGCTGTTTTGGCGTTAATTTCTTTTTGGTTAAGTTCTATGGAACATCCTGAACATTGTAAGTAAATGAATACAGCTCTGATTTTGGAATTCCTACGCGATTACACAAAATTACGCAATCCGCCGGTAAGCGAAACTGTTATTGAAAAGTGTTATCGGCAGTCGGGCAACTGATTATGCAGTTTATTTTTAGTCCTCTCTTCTAATTTTCCACATATCAACCAATTTAGAAATAGAACTTTGATTTCTCTCGTAGAGTTCGGTTATAATAGTTTCATTCTCGCATGGAATTCACCAAAGAAAACTTTGGTTGCGGGCGTTTTAACGCACACACATATTATTACTTCACAAAAAACCACCCCGGGTAATTTATAGGACGATCGACTTAACTACACAACCGCTATAACGACCCTTGACGTTAAATATGCTCTGTGGCTTAAACTGTAAGCAATTTTAAGATTGTTTATTTTAATTATCGACCGGCTGTGTGCGGGGTGTCATGCCCAATACAGCTTTGTAAGTTTTTCTTTCTTTCAGTTCTAATTGGTTCATGTCTTTCCGAATAAATTTTTGTCATTGTCAACAATTAATTATGTGCTTATTCGAATCCGTTGTCCGACCCGAATAGAGTTTTCATGCCAGATTTTTCTTTTCACGGCCGGATGTTAATGCAAATTTGTGTAGTTAATTCTTTGGAATTTTCGGAAGTTGATCGAGGCTGCTGAGTCTCCCAAATTATTAATTTGAAGTCAACATTGAGATTTTTCTTTTTAGCAGATGCCGAAAGTGTACGAGGAGATGTACAATTCTAAGTTTCAATTTTCTTTTCTTTTGAGCTAGCTGGACAGGTGTTTTGTATGTGGTGTAATGGCCGCATACCATTGCATACAGTAAGGTATTACTATATTTCGAAAGCGGTCCACTATTAGGTGATCGGATTTTCCCTTCGGAGTCCTGGGGATCCTTCATTACCTTTGGAGACAAGGAGCGAAGGAACTTGAATGACTACGCGAATGTGAAAATAAAAAAAAACGCAAAATTTATCGTCGACAAATTTGACATTTTTTTGAAGTGAAATACGAGCAAGAATTTAGAGAATGTTAAAATTTTGCATTTCTTTGAAATCATGAGAGTATGAAGGAGATTTGGATTGTAATGGTAGGGTAATTGAAGGGAGGAAGTACGATTAGAGGGTAAAATACTAATGGGTCGACTTAAAAAAATGATTATTGTCACGGCGTAACTTGTTAGTTACTAAAAAATCACGCGTGAAGGATTTCCACTTTCGACGAACTAATGAGTTCACTTTGAGGTAACGAACAATCACTACATTCAATTGTTTTTTTAAATTTGATCTTGTTATTATTTTTGTGATTACGAGAGCCGAGCTTAGTAAGCGACTGCAGTTGAGGAAGTGGTCAATTACTACTAGAACAATTACTGAACGACCATTACAGTTGCTAGTAGCATTCCCGGTTTGATTTTACGTTTCATTCTTTGGGGAGATTTAAAAAGAATAAGATAAACACTACTAAAGAATAGATTGTATTATTGCGGATTCTATTTTGAACAATAAAATAACTTTGTAAACAATCAATTATATATTATATTTTTGGAAATATTTCATAACCAGATTATAAACATTTGAATTGGATAAAGGTCAACGCTCACTTGAGCGAAGCGCGGCGCGGCGTTAGTGAGCGCCGGCCTTAAGGTTTCAAAATGATGCGTTACTTGTCACATGCTATTTTTAAGTCGGGGCTTCTTCGTGATGCAGAATTAATATTACGATTCCTTTCTTATCAACATTGCAAAATTAACAAGGTTAGTAAGCCCTGTATTCGGTGGCAATTTGAGTTTGAAGTTCTTCCATTAGATCTACAGGATGCCAAAAATTGTATTTCTGTTTATCATTTTACAAATTCAATGCCACAACATGTTACTGAAGGTGCTAACTGCCGAGGTTATCCAACTCATGATAGACGAAAATATAAATAAAACCTAGCAATTTAATTACTTATATTGCACCCGTAGCGTATTTTGAATCTTCTTTGATCTAATTTGTTGATAAAAAAGATGAGCTTTCGCAATGATGAATGGTAGAGTACAATAGTTTGGCATAGGTGCATCACCTCGCGAGAAATATGTAAATTTCGTTTACCAATAGGATGAGACCTTTGAATATCAATTTAGAAGGTTATAGAAAAACAGTCTCGAATAACAAATTTACCAGTATCAATTTTCACCAACACCAGTTTTTCGAATTTTCGCGGAGAATGGCCCGAAGGGTAGGTTAGTGGACGCAAACAAGTTTTCTGTCATTGATCCGAAGATGATCACATAAACTAATCTGAATTCTGTTCGTAAAACTACAAAAAATAAATCCTGTTTGCCATTTATTTTTTTATTATTAAAAGTAGGTACCTGCGTGGTCTCGACCGTGCCTCGAAGTTAAATTAAAAATGAATGAAAACCTTGTTGTAGTATTTTATTTTGGCATTAAATTATCGTTGTATCATTTAAAATTAAATATACTTACCCCAATTGCCGTTGGAAAATCGTCCCCAGGTTCCCGAAAAGCCGCGGCGAAGGTTACGTTTTATAGAACGGAAAAGCTTTGTGAGAACCGAAAATGATTTGACACTGTCGCGCTTAATTAAGCGTAAAATCACGTTTAAATTTCAATTTGATTAATAAGATGGGACCGCAGTAATTCGACTGAGAAATTGACCCAGTAATAAAAACGTTTACGTTGACCTAATAAGTTTGGCCTCAATGCTAATGGTAAATACTTACGTTTTCAATGTGCGGTAATCCTTCCTTCAGCGGTTTCTTTTCGATTCTCGCGCGTAAACAGAATTCGCGCTCCGCGTGGTGCAATCACTAGCTTGTTGTGGTAGACTGATTGTGCTGGAGTTTTCGATAAGGAAGGCGACATCACGCAACTACTTTATATATGTTGCATACAAAAGATACAAGACTAGCGAGTAGCTTAAATGGGTGGTCCTTCCCATTCCATTGTATCAACGGACAACATCGTCTAGACGGTCTTCAAACACTTTTAGTTTTGGTACCAAAAAGTAACTGTCGACGCCCAACGCGAAATACTAACAATAAACACCTACACTCAAGAGCTAATTAGAGATTTAAATTTGGAATTTCCTAATTAAAGTAGCATTAGTCTGAAGGGATATCTTCAACTACACGACCTGTAGAAAAATCACGCAACATCACCAGCCTAGATCTTCCGAAGGACAGTGGTTCAAGTTCCAAAAGGTTAATTACTTTAATTTATAAAAATGAAAGAAACGATATTTTAATTGCCTAAACTGTATTTCATGGTCTCTGAACCGTTTCTTCCTTTACCTCCACGATCCCGTTCAATCGGAGTCCCAAATCCGTTCTTCATATATCTTAGTATCAGCAGATTGCCAGGTTATCTTGCCGATTGCTATTTGCATTTCTCTCGTCAATTCGTCGGGGTAGGTAAACCTCGCGCCAGGAAAGATTGCCGGTCATAGAACACTTGATTCCGGTCTACAATTTATGTTTTTCTAAAGATGTGAGCGACTTCCGGGATAGTATCGTGTCAATGTTGAACAAAAAGACTTTTCGTTCAACATTGACAGGATCCTATTCCGGAAGTCGCTCGCATCTTAAGACAAACATAGATTGTAGATCGACACAAGGTGTGCTGTGACCGGCAATCTTTCCTGGCGAGAGTTATAGGTATACATGAAAGTGTTCTGTACAACAATGCGAGACCACTTTGTAGCTTCCATTGATTGTCCATTACAAGCATTAAATTGATTTACCATTGAATGTTACGTCCTGCCGTTTTTCTATAGCATCAACATTTCTCTTTTTTGCCTCACAATTTGCTCGCTATCAAGTCCGAAACCCACTTACAGTTTTGTACTCCACAAAATTTGATGTAGAATAAAAGGCATTTTTTTTTGTAAAATTATAGAAACACTTTTTTCAAGGTCATTTTTTTTTCAAATCTAAGTGCCTAATTTAAACCATTCAAACTTCTAAAGCGTAATACATGTACAGGGTGTCCCATTAATAAAGGTCACAGGCCATATCTTTGCACAGCTTTGGGAAACAAAATTTGTTAACAAAAGAGATCAAGGGAAATCGCTGGAAATTATTTTTAAGTTTCTAGCTTCATGGTTAAGTAGAAAAATTACTTTTTCCTAAAATATACATGCATAAAAAATACATGCATCACAATCTTGTGTCAATTTTGCATTTTGATGCAGCACATATTGCTCTAGCTCATAAAAGCTAGAGGGGTGGGTGAAGGGAACATCTCTTTAAGGAGTTGAATGTAACTTTTTTTTAATATAGGTCTCGTTGAAAAGAGTTCTCTTCGTGGAATCCGATTTTACATGAATAGGGTCTTTTTAGTAAATGTGATGATTGGTAGAGGGCGCGATGTGACATTAACATAAACTTTCCAGGTTTTTTTGAAAATTTCAAATGCAACGACATCATTATTATATGATATGATCAAATAAGATGAAAAAGTGGACGTATCCGTGAAAAACTAATTTTGATATTTGTCTCTGAAGCCGAGATATGGCGAAAAGATGATATTCACAAATTTTAATTGCAATATTTATATGCATCCAAGTTGACTTTGAAACAAAAGAAACACAATACCACGTAAAAAAACTGTCAAACATTGCCATTTATTTCGAGTGCATTTTGAAGACACTCGAAATAAATGGCAAGCATGTCGTATGCTATTTCATTTCAAATGGGCATTGTGATATTTTGCACGAATACGTTTAATGAACGAAGGCGACAGGTTGTGATAAACTTTAACAGTTTTTTTTACGTGTATTGTGTTTCTTATGTTTCAAAGCCAACTTGTATGAGCATAACTATTGTAAATTTTTACTATATGCTTAAAAAACAGATGCGGTTTTCACTGATATTCTCACTTTTTCTTCTTATTTGATAATATCATATAATAACCATATCGTCCCATTTGATATTTTCAAAAAAATCTGCAAAGTTTATGTTAATGTCACATCGCGCCCTCTACCACTCATCACATTTACTAAGTTAAAAAGTAATCGTAAACCATTTACAAAAAGCGTATTTCCACTTGCATTCATTTCCTATTTGTAAGATGCAACTTCTGTTAAAATCGTAAAAATCCGGCCACAAATATGAAAGATAGCGTTGCACATGTGCAATCCACTTTTGACGTGCTACTTCAATTTCAGTTTATAAGAAGAATTTCATTTCAATGCTTTTCTAAATAAGAAAGTTGGAACTGCGCATGCGCAAATCTAAATTTTAAAACTAACGTTAAATTTTCTTTTATTCCAAGTGCCTATGTATCAAGTTTCGTTTAAATTCTTTCATAAATAAAAAAGTTGGCACTGCGCATGCGTAAAACCAAACTTTGAAACTGGCGTCTGATTTTCCTTTATTCCAAGTGCCTATGTATCAAATTTCACTGTGCACTGTGAATTTTGAATCGATTCGACTCAACTTTTGGCATTGCGTATTATATGGCTGAAGCTATGCCCATATTGAATTTCATGCAATTCAGTTCATAACTAACGGAGATGTCAAAGCGATCGGGCATTTCTAACCAAAGTTATCGTTCACACGGACAGATAGAGGGACAGACAGACAAAGGAACAGACGGACAGACCAACAGACAGACGACAGACAGCAATACAAAATTATAAACGATCTCTAGGATCGTTAATAAACGGCAAAAGTGTAAAATTATGGAGCATGTAAAAAACGGTTTTTTGGTTTTTTTACAATAACTTTTTTTAGTAATAAGCGCAGAAAAAATTCCTTCCTTGGTGCAAGCCTCGACACCCTAACGAACCAAATAGCGAAAAAAGTAGAACAATAGCTCTTAAGATAAAGAACTAGTAGCGTCTCAACGAACGAGCGGACGGACGGACGGACGGACAAAGTGGCCACAATAGCGCATTCTTCTTTATTTTTGTGGAAATGCGCTAAAAAGACTATTCATGTGAGATCTGATTCCACGAAGAGAGCTCTTTCCAAGACCTATTATGTGAAAATCGGTTAACCTAAACCGAAGTTACATTCAATTCCTTAAAGAGATATTCCCCTTCCTCCACTGCTAATATTTTATGAGCTAGAGCAATATGTGCTGCATCAAAATGGTATAAAATTGATACAAGATTGCGATGCATGTATTTTTTATGCATGCTTGTTTGGTATATTTTAGGAAAAAAGTCATTTTTCCACTTAACCATGAATCGTACGCCCTCTAACGACAAAGATAGAAGCTTGAAAATAATTTCCAGCAATTTCTCTTCGCCTCTTTTGTTAATAAAATTTTTTTCCCGAAGCTGTGCAATTAACGATTCCACAGATATGACCTGTGACCATTATTAATGGGACACACTGTACATAAATAAAACGATTTCTAAAGTGGCAACACTTATTTTCAATTGCAGTGGTAATTGGAGATGATTTTTATATTTCTTTGTCGGGAAAAAAATACAGTGACACCCGTTATGTAGAGGCGCTTCGTTACGAAAAGTGTTGTTTCGGAACTATTTATTTCTCGTAGGAGTTGGCCCTCGGCATTGAGAAGCAAAGGAAAATTTAATATTTCAAAGTTTCAGCTTTGTTAAGTAATTATTCGACGATTTAAATCCGCATTAAAGTTGCAAGGTGGTGAAGTTTATTTCATTATCGCAGACCTGATGCGATTCAGGTAACAAAGAGTATTACTGGACTACCGAATTTGGAAATTTTAATCCGGCAAATTAAGAAAGTGTAATTATTAGTCGCTAAATAAATGATGGTTTCATTAGAAGCGCGCTTAATTGAGTCAAATTTTAAGACCAATGGGGGTTTACAGTGTAGTTGAATTCCGCAGTTCTAATTTAATAAGCGTGTACCTGAAACCATAAAACATTTTTTTGGACAGTAAAAGTTTATTTAAAAATAGAGGCTGATTAGCAAAAAAAATAATGAACATGTGCGGTTTTAAAGGTTTATTCAAAACGATATGATTGTGGCGGGCTCTGTGACGTAATAAGCCCGACCAATCAGCTCCTAGAACCATTCAGATGACATAACGACTTGGCAATATTGCAGGAGAATGGCATTTATAACTTGCGTCATCTGTCACAGGCACTTGTCACTTTCGTGCTAGATGCAGTTAAACATCCCTCTCAAAACGTCAAATGTGACAAACGTCAGACCCTTGGGTAAGGTTGCCAGCTCATTTCTACGTGATTGGTTGTAGGTTTGTGACGTATTTAGTCTGAAGCGTGTTTCAAATTCGGACTAAAAACACAGCTTTTCAATAATTTATTTTGGGTTTATTTTACTCGTCTTTTTATTTTTAATGTACTTTGTAGATCAGAAATAAAAAATGAAGGCGGGATGAGCCCATTACAGATGCTTATCGCAGGACGCCAAATTCAATAAAAAAACAATCGAATACGCTGTGTCGGCTGGACAACTGTCGATCCCTCCATGAAATGGCCGAATTTTTATAAAGATAAAGCCGCTGTTTAGAGGGGATCGTTTGCTTTTGGTGTTTTAACCGAGATGTAAGATCTCTATTGACAATTTCACTGTGCACGTGTACGTTTTGTACTTTTATCCATCACAGTACTGATAAATTTTCTCTTCCGTTAATTATAAGAGGGGTATTGCTTTGCTTTGCCTGTAGTTGATTTTCCGTAGCTACCGCTGATTAATTTATGCTTTGCGCGGTAATTCTGGACTACCTGACTACTTGTGGCTACCGATTGTGTCAAACCTCTGAGACCGGTCCGAAACCGCCGACCTTGGTGTTGGCCTTTAATCTTCTGGTGGCGCTCGAGTTCGCTCGTTTGTCCGTTCCACCGACATCACTCGCCCTCTGCGTTACTGAATTCCAATCTTTTGTAAACTTATTTTGCTTTAAATTAATTTTATTTTTGATTCCGCTAATTATATTGTTTAATTTTCATGCCATTTGTGCGCGGACTTCCTACCGAAGTTCGTCGCAAACTAGTTTTTATTAAAAAAAATGATGAAAGCCTCATGTGAAACCGAATG